CTAATCATCTTTGTTGCTCTTCTCTGCACTCTTTCTAGAGTCTCCACATATTTTTTACATCGTGGCGACCAGAACTGAATGCCGTATTCCAAGTGTGGCCTTACCAAGGCATTATAAAGTGGTAATAATACTTCAGGGGATCTTCATTCTATCCCTCTGTTTATGCAGCCTATATCATACATAATCTCATCAAATTATTCATTTCTTTAAAAAAAAATGGCCATGTCTGTTTTTGACAAGGACACCAATATCATTAGGTTGCGGCAACATTGTTTTATTTTATTTTTCACATACAGACTAGGGAGTAGTCCTGACTTATGGCTGGTTGCATAGCAATTTTTCAACGTTCTGACTGACCTATCTTGGGGGGTACTTATGACCCAGATTCAAAGTTCTCACAGTTGCCCCCAGGGTCATGTTACTGACATTACTGCTGCTGCTGGCAGTATCCTGCAGTCACATAACCATGTTTTATGACATATCTTGTCAGAACTATCACAAACGCATAAATGCATTTATTTCTGGTTTTCAACAAAGCTCCATCCATAGAAAACCACTGATTCCTTTAGAACCCTGGATTTGCCTAACCACTCCAAAAAAATTGTTGTAAAACCATAACCTAACCTGTTTTATGACCATGACCGTGATGGCCAGGTTCTGGTATGGTCACAACTCGAGGATTACCTGTAACTACAGTATCTATAGGATCTATTAATATAGTTCTAGGCTGCATTAACAGAGGGATAGAATCAAGCTCACGTGAAGTTTAATACCGGTTTATAATGCCTTGGTAAGGCCACACTTGGAATACTGCATCCAGTTTTGGTCACCATATTACAAAAAAAGATGTGGAGACTCTAGAAAGAGTTTAGAGAAGAGCAACCAAGATGATTAGTGGCCTGGGGGCTAAAACATATGAAGAAGGGTTTCAGGATTTGGGTTTGTCTAGCCTAATGAAGAGAAGGACTTGGGATGATTTGATAGCATTGTTCCAATATCTCAGGGGTTGCCACAAAGAAGAGGGGTCTCAATCTATTCTCCAAAGCACCTGAAGGCAGGACAAGAAACAATGGATGGAAACTAATCAAGAAGCAACCTAGAACGAAAGAGAAGTTTCCTGACAGTGAGGACAATTAAACAGTGCCTCCAGAATCTGTGGGTGCTCCAACCCTGTAAGTTTTTAAGAAGAGATTGGACGGTCACTTGTCTGAAATAGTATAAGGTTTTCTGCCTGAGCAGGGGAATTGACTAGAAGACCTCCAAGGTCCCTCCCAACTCTATTGTTCTGTTATTTGTAGTCTTGGTGAATAGACCAGCAATAAACTGGCACTGCAGACTTCTCTGAGCAATATAGTTTATTTCTGTTTTCGCGCCTCATCATTGTCAGTCCCTAAACATTGCTGGATATAACAGGCTTCTTTGTCCTGTAAAAACCCATTGACTTTTAAAGAGAATATACAAAAACAGGGACACACAAATGAGCTCAGTTGATCAAATAAGAAGTATAAACAAAGGCAGAGAAACAAAAGTATTAAACCACACCTGGAATATTGTGTCCAGTTTTGGTCACCACATTACAAAATAGATGTAGAGACTTTGAAAAATGTGCAAAGAAGAGCAACTAAGACGATTAAAGTCCTGGAGAGAAAACACCTAACAGCAGTTGCAGGAATCGGGTATGTCTAGTTTAATGACAAAAAGGACTAGGGGAGACATGATAGCAGTCTTCCAGTATTTGAAGGGCTGCCATAAAGAAGAGGCAGTCAACTTATTTCCCAAAACACCAAAAAGCAGGAGAAGAAACAATGGATGGAAACTAATCAAGGAAAGAATAATGTAGAACTAAGGAGAAATTTCCTGACAGTGAGAACAATTAATCAGTGGAACAATTTGCCTTCAGAAGTTGTGAATGCTCCATCACTGGAAGCTTTTAAGAAGAGGCTGGACAGCCACTTGCCTCAAATGGTATAAAGATTTTTGTCTTGAGTAGGGGGGGGGTTGGACTAGAAGACCTCCAAGGTCCCTTCCAGTTCTATTCTGATTGACTGGTCTACTGATCACTTTCCTAACCTTCCCATGGCTTTCTCACGATTTTGCAAGAGGGTGATTTCCCTTTTCTTCTCTGGGGTGACCATTTTTGTGCGGGGAATGAAATCCATGAAAACTTAAATTGCTGCATTACACATGATGGGATTAAAATGATATTAGGATAAAAGACACAGAGAGCTGATGTATGATATAATGATTAAGAGCCTGGGTTGATCTGGGTATGATCCAAATTCTAATCCACTTTAACCCCAGAAGCTGCTCTGTGATTATGGGCCACCCACTCTTTCTCAGCCTAACCTACGGTACTTTGCGTGGTTGCGGTGGTGGAGAAAAAAAATTAAAGATTTTTTTGTATGCCACCTCGAATTCCTGGGGCAAATGTGATGAGTAAATATCCCCTTAATAAACATAGATGCGGAGTGCATATTCCCCTTATTACAGTTATGTACAATGAAGTCCTTGATGTACGACCAAAATTGAGCCTCAAATTGCTGTTAGATGAGTTTTGCTCCATCTTACAACCTTTCTTAACCACAGTTAAGTGAATCAGTGCCGTTGTTAAGTTAGTAACATGGTTGTTAAGTGAATCTGGCTTCCCCGTTGGTTTTGCTTGTCAGAAAGTCGCAAAAGGGGATCACATGATCCCGGGACATTGCTTACCCATAAATATGAGTCAGTTGTTACGCATCTGAAGTGACGCTTAAAAATGACAGGAATGAGTGGGAATGAAAAAACATAACTTTTTAAACATGCTCAAATGAAAGTAAATTTTCCTATTCCATTTTCTTTTTGGGGCAGATTGTTGAATAGATGATAAAAACGGCCATTTCACAAAAATCTACCATGCACTCAAGTGTTGCCAGCTCGTGAAAGTGAATCAACCAATAGTGGAATTTATGCTTTCTGTGGATTGTGGTTACTACGACATGGTTTTGTGATGTGCCCAGCTATACTGTAGTTCCACATTTCTAAGATCTTGTCGGCATGCAACACACACACACACACACACACACACACACACACACACACACACACACTCAAATACAGACTGTCTGAACCCCAAATCAAGAACATTAAAGGAAAATGAACATAAAAAGAATAAAAAAATACATACACTTGGAATGGGAATGACCCGCATCTGGTCACCCTGGGGGGGGAAATGGGGGAAAAAAATCATTTGTAAGAGTGTAATATTTCAAAACAGTAGAACATAAAATAAACCTACATGTCAGATTTAATAAATAAAGACTCAAACTCGAAAAAGAATTTAAGAAATTGGTTAAGTTAAGAGAAGTAAATACTGTGTCGACAGAAATTATCAAGGAACTGCAAAGGAACCGTTACTAGACATTTTGATATTTTCAACAGATATTGCAAAAAAGGGACACAAGGCTTTTTTCCTCCAGCTTTGATGTGGTGGTATTGCCACGCTGAACAGTTTTGCTCTCCTGTTTATTCAGCACGATATCAATACCAGAACAATATTTATCTATAAATTTTTATTGCAATTAGCAATGAAATTTTAAGCTTTCCTTAGGTACAGTACTAAGTTTAATTTTTTATTTTATTAATTTATCCAATTTATTGGCCGCCCATCTTATCACAGAGTAACTTAAATAGGACTTAAATATCCAGTTATAGTCATACTTAAGAGAACGTTCACTGCAGCCAATCCTCATATTTCAAATCAATAGATTTTACTTGCATGATTCAATACATTAATACAACAATATATTATTGAATTCAGGGAGAACCAATTGCATGTTTCAAAGTGAAGTGATGGCTGCTTATTTTAATAGCCAGATACAGATAGGTTGAAAATGTAGTGATTATCTTTATGTACCATTGAATCAATCTACCTTACAATAGAAATAAAACCAAGAATGTAATAAAACAAATTTCCACTTAAAATTAATAAAGCAACCAATCTCAGCAGGATAATAAAACAATGACTTTAATATACATGGCAGCAAATTATAGTGTAACCTGAAGTCTTTCGGAGAGAGTCTCTTTAGCCACCTTCTGGAAAAATACTATCAGAAGCAGTAACTAGGTTACTGGAGGTATGTTGTCCCCACAAGATGAGGTACGTGAGAGAGATATGGGTCATTTTGGGAGGGTCATTGTTATTTTCAACGGGAAACACTAAATATCTTCATCCGAGATAAGGGTCAGTTCTACTTGGGAGAAAGCAATCCAGAAGGTACCTAGAAGGTACTTAGGGCCTTAAAGGTTGGTTCCACCACAAAACCGCGGAGGACAAAATCGCGCTCGACGAAAGCGCGCATTTGACGTCATCACAGCGCGACGAAAAAAATTAAAAATTGAAATAAAATTAAAATTAAAGCAAGCCGATTCACATAAAGGTAAGGGTTAGGTTTAGGGTTAAGGTTAGGGTTAAGGGTTAGGGTTAGGTTTAGAGTTAGGTTTAGAGCGTTAGGGTTAC